GTTTCCTGTCAGGATAAGCTGACACATATTTACCTCCGCTTTGCACATATTTACCTCCGCTTACAGTAGTCTTCTCCCAGAGCATCTCTGTTCCCACACAAACTTGTGTACAACTGGACCTCCCCCGCCCTTCCCCCTCCCCCCTGCACACTGCTTTATTTTTTCAGAGCACGTATTACCCATCATTATTTTATGTTCTTACTTGTTTATATGTTTGTTCTTTGTCTTCGCCCACCAGGAATGTAAGCTTGATGAGAACTGGAACCTTGAGTGTTTTATTTGTTTTTCCAACATTATCTCCCCAGTGCCTAGAATAATGCCTGGCACATCATACACTTGGACTTGATAGGTTGTATTGCATGATAATTAAGAGCACAAATGGGAGTCAGTCTCTCTAGGTTCGAGTACCTGTTCTACTCCTTCACAGCTGTGTAACTTAGAACAAGTTACTTAACCATCCTTTTTACCATCTGTAGAAAGGGATGCTAATGTACTTAACGGGGTTATTCTAGAATGAAGTGAGTTTGTGCAAAAACACAGATTGGTGCTTAGTGTTTGTCACTATTATGCTTTTTGTGTAAATTTAACACATGGTTTTTGCTATCATTCACGCATGCAGGCATCAACTAAGCCCTAGTTATTGACATTTACAATGTGCCTGGCACTCCCTAGACAAGTGCCCAGAAGTGAACAAAAGAGACATGAATTCAAAGAATTATTCCTAGTGTTAAGTGCTGAGAAGCAAAACAGCACAGATGTTACAGGAGATACCATGTAGTCTGAGGGCAGGGAAGGCTTCTGGAGGTAGCGATGCTACCCTGGGACTAAGAATATATAGGTTCTGAGCTGGCCAGTTCGCTCAGTTGGTTACAGTGTGGTGCTGATAATACCAAGGTCCAGGGTTCGATCCCTGTACCAGCCAGCTGCCAAAGCAAAACAAAACAAAACTGGCTCTCAAGGATATGTAGGTTCTAACTGGGTGGAAAGAAAGAGAGAAGCAGAGTGGAGAAAGAGCCTCTAAAGAGACAAGTGGCTGGAGCGTAGAGGGCTGGGAGAGATGAGGCTGGAGAAACTTAGCAGGGGCTCACCACGCAAGACCTTGTGGGCCTCAGAAAGAAGTTTCATGGGGCCGGCCCGTGGCTCACTCGGTAGAGTGCGGTGCTGAAAACACCAAGGCCATGGATTCGGATCCCATATAGGGATGGCCGGTTTGCTCACTGGGTGAGCGTGGTGCTGACAGCACCAAGTCAAGGGTTAAGATCCCCTTACCAGTCATCTTTTTATAAAAAAAAAAAAAAAAAAAAAAAGAAAGAAGTTTCATGGAGGCCATGAAAAGACTTGAAGCAAAACTTGCTTCAAATGACTGATTTGCAGTTAGAAAAATTTTCCTGGGTCTGGCCGGTTAGCTCAGTTGGTTAGAGCACTGCCCTGTAACACCAAGGTCAAGAGTTTGGATCCCTGTACCGGCCAGCCACCAAAAAAGAAAAAAGAAAGTTTTCCTGGATGCTGTGCGGAGAAACCTCCTTCAGGTCTCTGTTCAACTGCCACCTCCCTAGAGATGTCCTTGTCTAAAGTGGCACCTCCCCTGCCCCTCTCCACCTGCTTTATTATGTTATTAGCCCTCACCAGTCCCTGACATTATGTTACACTCTCACACGATTCTTCTGTTCCTCCCATTGGACTGGAAATCTCACAGGAACTGGGACTTGGTCCAGAATTTTCCCCTGTCAGGAGGGTTAGGAACAGCTGTCTGGATGGAAGAGAGCAGGGGACTAGCGGACTCAATTAATCTTGAAGCTTAATTTGCATAGCACTTTACATAAGACTGAGAAACATCAATTGCCCATATCAAAGAATGGGGCGGGAAGGGGAGGCTAAAGTCCCAACAAGTCAGTTTTTGTGACTGCCGATGATTATAAGTCACCAAGGGCTTTGGAGAGGGTGTGGAACTGGAGAAAAATGGATAGAATTGAGGAATATTTAAGATGTAATGGATAAGACTTGGTAGCTGAATGTGGGTGTAAGGGAAAGGGAAGGCGATGCCTACATTTCTAGCTTAAGCAACTGGTGGACGGTGGTGCCATCTCCTCAGAGCAGAGGGGACCAAGAGCAGGTTCTGTGGTTTAGATCATGAGTTCATTTTTGGTTGTATATGAGTCCAAGGAGCCTGGGGGGCCTCTTGTGCGAGGAATCCAGGAGTTAGACAGATGGGAACCCAAGTTGCCAGCTGGGGATAGTCCTTGGGAGTCCTTGACTTAAGAGATGGGAATTGGAATGCACAATGAAAGCAGGATACATTACTGGAAGCTTAGAGAAGAATGCCCTTTTCTTATGAGATCTCTTGAGGCAAATGACCAGAAATGCTTAAATGCAAATACCTTCTGGTTACAACCTGGCTTCCCTGTCTCACCTACAGTCCCATAACCCCCAGCTGCTTCTAGCAATGAAGGATCCATGCAAGGGAGGGGTTGTGGGAGCTTAAGTTTCATTAGCTTCACACTATCTGCCTTTGCCCTCGAAAACACATTGGATGAGAGAAAGCACTTGAAGGAAGAACGCTTAGGAACCCCAACAATTGATGGGGGGTCCAGAAGTGTCCTGTAAGGAGACTGAGAAAGAACAGCCAGGGAGGTAGGAGGTAGTAGAAGCCTGGGAAAGGCTGGCTTCACAGAAGGCAAGGTGAATGGCTGTTTAGAGGATCATCACCACTGGCAATTAACTGTCTGCCAAGTTCTGTTAATTCTTCTCTTCTGTGTCTCTCCCCCCATCTTCACTGCCACCTCCTGGCCAGTGGCTCCCATTACAGCTGGACGACTGCTCATATTCTTCCTACCTCCACCCTTACAGCTATCCATCCCATACATTCTGGTAGATCACGCTTTGAAAAATGGAGCCCAGACCATACCAATCCCCTGCTCGACAACTTTCAATAGCTCCCTGTCACCTTCGAACTAATGCTCCATACCTCGCCTGGTATGCTAGGCTTTTAGCCACTTGGATCCAGGCAACCTCCCCAGCAGTGCTTCAAGATGCTCCCTCATAAAGAACGGATCTATTTTCTGTCCCCCTAACCTTCAACCTTGTTGAGGCTGTGTCACTTCCCTGGAGTGCCTACCTTCATGCCTAAATTTTTCCAGGCCAGGATCAAATGATACCTTCTCTAGGAGGCACTCCCTGATACTCCACTAGGTACTTTACCCTTGGTGAGTTCCTTGACCACCCTTCTCCCATGGCATCAGAACACTCTGGCGTGATTTTTTTTTTTTTTAAACCATGCTCACAGCTTATCCCCAAGTGAGACTAAATTCTTGAGAGCAGGGACTGTGCCATCTTCGTTATCAGCACCGCACTCTACCGAGTGAGCCACAGGCCGGCCCCGTGATTTTTTTTTTTTTTAAACCATGCTCACAGCTTATCCCCAAGTGAGACTAAATTCTTGAGAGCAGGGACTGTGCCATCTTCGTTATCAGCACCGCACTCTACCGAGTGAGCCACAGGCCGGCCCCGTGATTTTTTTTTTTTTTAAAAGATGACCGGTAAGGGGATCTTAACCCTCGACTTGGTGTTGTCAGCACCACGCTCAGCCAGTGAGCGAACCGGCCATCCCTATATGGGATCCGAACCTGTGGCCTTGGTGTTATCAGCACCGCACTCTACCGAGTGAGCCACAGGCCGGCCCCGTGATTTTTTTTTTTTTTAAACCATGCTCACAGCTTATCCCCAAGTGAGACTAAATTCTTGAGAGCAGGGACTGTGCCATCTTCCCTCCTGTCTCTCCCACTGCACCCAACACAGGGCCAGACACAAAGTGGGCAGAGGAAATGTTGGGTCAGGCGAGTATGCTCACTGACATTCACATATTATGAACAGAGGTTGCAAATTCAACTGCCTTCAGGAGCCAGACAGATATTACAAATGTGTGAAGTTGCCCAGTGCAAGACAATTGGGAATGATGGCAAGTTGTAGACCTCGTTCTCCTGCCTGAAGTATTACTAATAAATACACAGAACATAAGAACACTATGTAAAGGCTGGCCAGTTAGCTCGGTTGGTTACAGCCTGGTACTAATAACACCAAGGTCAAGGGCTCCCTGTATAGGCCAGCCATCAAAAACGAACAAAAAACGACACTACATAAAGTGCATTTAAGGGCTGAACTTGACCTGAAAATTATGAGTTTGAGGCACTGAAATATAGGTCCCAAACACACTCTGCATTTAGGTGGTTCCTTAGAGCTTTCAGAGCAATTTTACATCAACAACTCTATCCCCACTTTACAGATGAGGAAAGCGAGGCTCAGAGAGGTTGAAGTGAATTGCTCAAGGTGACACAGCGAGGAATTAGTAGCACAAAGCTAAGTTCAAGCCATTCGGACTCTGGCCTGGCCTCCTCTCTTCTGAAGGTGATGGGAGGAGTATCTAAAAAAGTGGGCATTGGGCTGAGCCCGTGGCGCGGGTTCGGATCCTATATAGGGAAGCGCTCACTAGCTGAGCGCGGTGCGGCCGGTCTCAAAAAAGACAAAAAATAAAAAAGTGGGCATCACTCACCTTTTATTTTTTTTGGCAGCTGGCCAGTACAGGGATCGAACCCTGGATCTTGGTGCTATCAGCACCATGCTCTAACCAACTGAGCTAACCAGACAGCTCTTTGTTCACTTTTCATTCAAACACAGCTTCATCTGTAAAATGGAACCAACAACCCCTTCTTCACAGGAAAGAGCTAAACTGTGAGGATGAAGGAGAGGAGCTGAATGAGAGCTTTATCAGGGCTTTCTAACCTGGTCTTTTAGAGTGGGCTTAAGGCGGTAAAATTTTGTGAGACCATTCTTGTGGCTTAGACAGTTTGGCTATGAATTTTGGCTTTGGGCTCAGTCACTGTGTTAACCTCCCAGGCTCAATTCGTTTGTGAAATGGAGTACTAGGATTAAAAGAGATAATCAACGCACAAAGCAGCCATAGTAGAAGGTAGCTGTTATTACGGTTCTATTCTGGGGTGAGGGTATCAGATTCTCAAAGGGGTTCTTAACCTAGAAAGTTTGCGAACAAATGTTCGGGAGCAATCGGGAAAATATCCTCATGTAAAACCAAGCTGCGCTAAAAAACGGCTGTCATGTGAATCAGGAGGCCCAGGCTCCACTGCTAACTTGCTTCAGCTCACCGGGTCATCTGTTAAAAAAAAAAAAAAAAAAGAAGGGGTGGTGGTCTGACTTGGGAGCCGCAATGCAGACCAAGGCAGCTCTGTTGGTGGAGGATAGACGCCCTACTGCGGGGAAGCGCGGAGCCTTCGGGTGAACTACAACTCCCAGCGTGCCCTGCGGGCCGGGCGGTGCCTTACGCTAGCACGCGAACCTCCCCGCCCCCCCCCAGTTACTGTCTCTCGCGAGAGGACGGGCCGCGCCGGCGGCAGCGATAGCGAGCTGTGGTGGTTGTGGTGGTGGCGGCCGAGACGGCGGCGGCCATTTTGGTGAGGCCTCGGGAGCGGCGGCGGCGGCGGCTTGCTGGAAGTAACGTCTCCCCTTAATCCCACCCACCGCCCGCATCTCTGAGCCGCGAGAGGAGGCAGTGGAGACAAGGCGGTGGCAGTAGTCGCGGCCCTCAGGGGAATCTGAAGGCCGCGAAGGCGGTGGCCAAGAGGGGGCCCTCCCCCCTCCTCGGCGGGAGGGGGGTGGTGCGCACGCCCCCGAGGACGCAGGTAAGGAGAGGAAGACAAGATGGCGGACACTCCACAGTTCCCCCTCCCCTGACGGGTGACTGCGCGCGCATCTTTCCGCCACCGCCTCCCCTCCCACCTTCCCGGGGTGCTGCGCGCGCACCTTCAGCCAGGGCCCCGGGGCCGGTGCGCGAGGCTGGCGGCGCGCGCCCATAGAGACAGACTGAGAGGGTCAGGCCGGCCGGCATTGGGCCCCGGCGCGTCTCGTCTCCCCTCCCGCCTTTCTGCGCACGCGTGCCTGAGAGAGCGATCCCTGAGAGGACGGACCCAGGTGCGCTCCTGCACGCCCACCAACCCCAGTCCCCGCTCTGGGGCGCGCGGGAAGAGGAAGGGGGGCGTGGGATGAGCAGTCGGGGCGCGCGCACGCCGCAACCAGTCAGGGGACCAGAACCTGGCGGCACGAACCCTCCTTTCTCTCAGCTTTTCGCGGTCTAGTGGTGGGGGGCCCTCTGGCAGGATTGGATGAAGGGCTTCCCAGCCCTGCTACCCTGGCGTGCGTGGGCTTGGGTTCTGGCGGGAGCCCCCGGGCTGTGCGCGCAGCCGGCTCGCTCCGCCCCCAGCCGCGCACGCGCGGGCCCCTCCCCCCGTCTGGCGCGCACGTTGGGTGGGGTGGGAATCTAGGAGGGGGCGGGGCGATCTTAGGGCTAGTGGCAGCTTGGGCAGAGGTCAGGGGTCACACTGGGTCAGTCTGCTGGGATGGGTTGGGCGACAGTTACGAAGACTGGGGTCAAGAGTTCAGGCTTCTTGGGATCTGGTTAGCTCGGTCCTGGGAATCCGCTGTGGAAGAGGGACTACATCAAAGGCGCACCGTGGCTGTGGAATTTCCTTAAACACAGGGGAAACACTTCCGGGCCTTGTGTGGGTTAACCCTGCCTGTTTCCGGCGCATGATTCTTCGCTGTGCGGCCGCTCTCACACCACGCTCTTTAATGTCTCTTGCTGTAGCTCTTGTGTTTGGGGAAGTGTGTCTGGGAGCAGGTATAGGATTCACAGGGCCCTGCCCAGAATCCTGGGTGGATTCTTCTGTGACCAGTATGATGTTTATTCTTCCTGCGAATTCCGCTCTTATTTCTGACAGCCTTCAGTCATCACTGGAAAGGCAAGCAGGCTGCCGGGCAGCCAGCACCTTTTAGAGTTGCATGTGACAGCTTTTTTTGCTTTATTAGCCCTCTGTTCTGTGGTTGGAGCCTTTTAGACTTACACTTTCTAAATCTTTTGCTCCACTTCGAACTCTCCTCCCCCGCCGGAATCTTATGACCCCACAAGATTCTGTTTTCGCGAAACATTATCTGCCTTTATTTTTCTGAAGTGTGAGCTTCTCCTGCTGCTGTAGTTTTCCTCTTCCCACCTTTGAACTGATTTGGGTATATGTAAAAGTCTCAAAAAACTGGAGTGAATAATAAACTTTGGTGGATGTCTGCAAATATTAATTGGTTCTTTACTACTGTTTTTCTCTCTTGTTTGTTTCAGGCGTGATTCCCCTCAGTACGGCAGCACCGTGGAAGTGCAGACTTTCACAGGGGGTGTGGTCTCAGCTCACACAGGTGAGGGTTCCCATACCATTTTGTGTACCGATACTAATAGAAAAATGTTTGAGATAATGAGAGAAATTATAGGTCAGTACTTGTGGTTTTGCTCTGGAGAACTATGGGAATACTTGCGTGTGATTTTACTGTGTAGGTTTTGATCATAGTAGTGCGATAACAATATTGGGGTTGTGGATGGAGGCATAGATCTGATCACCTTGGCGCTACCAGGGAGCATAGCAGATTTTCCATGGTGCTGGTATCAGACTATCTGGGTTTAAGTCTTCCTTCTACTTCTTCCTTACTGTGTGACCTTATGCAAGTCATTTGGTCTTTTTGTGTCCTGATTTCCTAACTTTTAAAGTACAGCTAACATAAGCTCCATTTAGATCAGGGATCTTTTCTGCATGGCTCTGTCCTTGGAGCATAGAAGAAACTAAATATTTGTTATGGAGTGAAAAGCACCTGGCTCACAGGGTAGATGTGAGTATTATAGAACACATCAAGCAAGTACTTAGTAATAAAGTATCTGAGATATAGTAAATGCTCAAGAAATATAGGCTATAATCCCTTTATTTTTTAATGTTCTCTTTTAAAAAGAATTCTTTAATCTCTTTTATTCTCTGCTTATCTTTATTTTTCAATGTTATTCCTGGTTTTTCAAAAGAATTCTTTAATCTTTAATCACATTTCTACCCTCTTTTTATCCTACTTTAGGTGCTCCAGAGGCTGGTGGACCTGAGCGGAGGCTGGGACGCCCTAGTGGGCCCCGGGCCCTGGAAGGCGGGTCCCGGTGGCCGGTGGCCCAGAATGAGGCCAGCTCCCAGCATGCCCTGCAGCCGGACGCCAGCCCCTCGGCCAGCAGCAGTGGTGATAACACCCCAGTCATTCTTCAGGCATCCAACGAGGAGCCTGGGAGTGGGACCATGCAGAGCAGCCCCTCCCCTGCTCACTCTCAGCTCCCAATCCTACAGACACAGGTTTGCAAGTGGGGAGGGTTCCTTCTGTGCTTTTGCCTTGTAGACTGCTGGCTCTGAGGTGGAAGAAATGTGGCAGGTCCTAGGTTCCTGAGTAACTGAGCCTGGAGACTCTGGTGCTCAGGTGCGCTGAGCTCTAATACGTCAAGCCTATATTGGATGTTCATATTCTACTTGACATTAGTGTAATATTGATTTCTAACAGTGAAGAAGCTCCTCATTACCTAAAAAAGGTGAAATTAGGCCAGGTTGGAAATAGAGGTTAGGGTCACATGCTTCTAAAACTGTACGCTTTGAAAACAGTTTAACTTCTTTCAGTATTGGAAAGGATAACCCTTATGGACAGTGTGTAGCATTCTCTTTTGTACCAAGGAAGTAATGTGGGGTAGAAAAAAGAGCATGGCTTTTGAAACTAGACAGATGGAGGTTTGTATACAGTAGACTTGATGTTTGTGGATTTGATATTTATAATTTTCCTGAGCTACTGGGGAAACTTGTGAGGAATGATAGTCTTTTGGCATTTAGCTGAGGGGGAAATTTGAGTGTACTGTGAGGCTTGCATGCTGGAGTAGATTTCCTGAGTTCCCTGAGTATCTACATTTCAGTAGGACTTTGTTTTTTTTACTTCTTATTGCTTGTGCAGTATCTTGTAAAATGATATGGGGTGTCTGAAAACAGTGACATCTTCCCAGCCTCTGCCTCTCCAGTGAAGAGGTTTAAGTGGCGTGGTTTCTGGTGTCTACTGAGTTTGGTAGTAGCACAGATTTATTGCATAGGTGAATCTGCCATAATTGGCTGTGAAAATGGGGGGGGGAGGAGATAGGGAATTGTTTATGTAAGTGAAATCATTGAGGCTTTGAAAAGATCATTAAAATTTGGAATCATTTGCTGTAGTAGTAGCCTTAAATTTGGTAGCTGTAAATGTCAGAACATAACTCTTGCATGTCAAGCATCTGCTATGAACTTAGCTCTGCCATCTTGAGCACCTTATTAAAACTTTATCTCAAATGTTTGCGTTTACAAAAATGAGATTGGTACTTTACTTCAGAGTTCTTTCTTGTGAAGATGAAACAAAATAATTTACTTAAAACACTTAGCACAGTGCTAAGCATTTGTTTTCTCTGTAATTTTTCCCTTTTCTAGATGGTGTCGGACGGCATGACAGGCAGCAATCCTGTGTCCCCTGCCTCATCCAGTTCCCCAGCTTCTAGTGGGGCAGGTGGCATCTCTCCCCAGCACATAGCTCAAGATTCCTCTCTGGATGGACCTCCAGGCCCCCCAGATGGTGCCACAGTGCCCCTGGAAGGGCTCAGCTTACTCCAGGCTGCTGATCTGGCTAACAGGGGCCCAAAGTGGGAAAAGAGCCATGCTGAAATTGCAGAGCAGGCCAAGCATGTACGTATTGGGAAGGCCCATGATGATTCTTGGAATTCTTCTTCCCTTAACCTCCCACGTCTTATGGGTATTTTACATTTCTTTCCTTTTTTTTTTTAAAGATGACTGGTAAGGGGATCTTAACCCTTGACTTGGTGTTGTCAGCACCACGCTCACCCAGTGAGCTAACCAGCCATCCCTGTATGGGATCTGAACCTGGGGCCTTGGTGTTATCAGCACCACACTCTCCCGAGTGAGCCACGGGCCAGCCCCAACATTTCTTTCCTTTCGTATCATGAATTTAAAGTATGGATTCTGCCTTAGCTTATGTCATCTTGAGCAGGTCACTTGAACTGTCTTTTCCTTTGCTTTAAGTAAGGAGGGTTTAATAGTTTGTATGTACTATTAGGAGGTTTAAATTAAAGGAAAACGTAGACATGAAAGTGTTCTTAAGATTTAACTGATTATACTTATTTCTGTCCTGCAACTTATGTTATGTTTATCCGGTGGTAAAAATGGTAAAAAAGCGTGGTTCTTGGACCAGCAGCATCAGCATCATCTGGTAGCTCTTCCCCATCTATCTATTTAAAACTTGGGGGGTAGGGGGTGGGGTCAGCAATCTGGTTTAAAAAGCCCTCCAGGTGATTCTGCTGCATGCTCAAATTTGAGAGCTGCTGGTCTGCTATTCATGTCTGTCTTGACTTTCCATCACTGTCAGACGATTTAGTTCCCTGTCTCATCTCTGGTTGTCATTTCCTCTGTGATTTAGTTTCTGTCAGGAGAGGACAGAAATGAGGAGGGCAGTTGTCCTGAATTTGTTTGTTTTTTGGATGCTGGCTGGTACAGGGATCAAACCCCAGACTTTGGTGTTACCAGCACCATGCTCTAACCAGCTGAGCTAACCAGCCAGCCCTTGTCCTGAGTTTTTAAAGTCACATCTGTTAAAAAAAATTGTTTTAATGCTTTTATTTGTTTTTTGTCATAAAATATAACAGATGTAGACACTTTAGTAAAACTGACCACCCTGTTACCTTTTTGTTGTACCTAACCAGTGTTAATCTTTTTGTGTATAACTTCTCAGTATTTTTTATATAAGAATGTGCTTTTTTACAAAAACAGCACAGTTTTTAAAGTCACATCTGTTAAAAAAAATTGTTTTAATGCTTTTATTTGTTTTTTTGTCGTAAAATATAACAGATGTAGACACTTTAGTAAAACTGACCACCCTGTTACCTTTTTGTTGTACCTAACCAGTGTTAATCTTTTTGTGTATAACTTCTCAGTATTTTTTATATAAGAATGTGCTTTTTTACAAAAACAGCACTTTTTAAAACAAATAGGATTGTGTAAATTGGGCTTTATGGAATATTTCTAAGCTTGATACAGCATGAACATGCTCTAAGTGGAATTCTACAGTGATGAAGAGCCCTTGTATCTGTTTTTGTTTTGGCAGCTAGCTGATAAGGGAATCCGAACCCTTGACTTTTGTGTTACAAGGCTGTGCTCTGACCACCTGAGCTAACCGGCCAGTCAAGCCTTTGTATCTAGAGTCAAGAAGGAAGGTGCATTCCTTTCTTCTCTGGGAATCTCCCTTTGAGATGTGTTTTCCCAAGTCTTGTCTGTGTATGTGGGGTGTGGAGATTGATGAAATCTGGTATCTGGAGTCTTTAGACCTATCTTTGGTTCTCAGCTCTTATTACCTCCTACCTGTGTGATCTTGGGCAAATCACTTAATCTCCCTGAACTTTTTTTCATATGAAGAGAGCATAATGCATACTTGTAGGATTTGTACGTGGACTAAACACAAGCATAAAACACTCAGCCTAGTCAGTGCTCAGGAACTCGGCCATGGCAGTGAGATGGAGTATGTGTCCAGGAACTGTTGATTAACTTAGCTCTCCTTCATTTAGGAGGCTGAGATTGAGACTCGGATTGCTGAGCTGCGGAAGGAGGGTTTCTGGTCACTGAAGAGGCTGCCTAAGGTACCAGAGCCACCCCGCCCCAAGGGCCACTGGGATTATCTGTGTGAAGAGATGCAGTGGCTCTCTGCTGACTTTGCTCAGGAGCGCCGTTGGAAACGGGGTGTGGCCCGTAAGGTATGTCCTCAGCTGGGTCCACCTTCCATTTCCTTCTCAGGTGTGCTTTCCCTTGATTGATGAGTTAGTTGGAAGGAACCATACAGAATGGTATAGGGTTCTTTTTGATGCCTGTAGTATCAAGAAGCAAGCTCTCATTTCCTAGATTTCTTGGCCTTGATTATTTTCTTTGCTATTGGGTGGAGAGGTCCGGCTTTGAATTTTTACACTGGGTCCTCATTCAATAGGTGGTGCGCATGGTGATCCGGCACCACGAGGAGCAGCGGCAGAAAGAGGAACGGGCCCGTAGGGAGGAGCAGGCCAAGTTGCGCCGAATTGCTTCCACCATGGCCAAGGATGTCAGGCAGTTCTGGAGCAATGTGGAGAAGGTAGGCAGCAAGGATTGGGAAAGGGAAGTGGCCTTGGATTAGGTTGGTGGGTGGCATGGTGTAGTAGGAACAATCAGAACTTCTTGAGGGAGCAAATGCTTTAATTTCATGCATTGGACCTTTCTAGTATTGAGTGCTGTGAAGAGGAAAGAAGTGTAGTGGTAAAATATGGGGTCCTGAGTTTGGGGATTGCTAACAGGACTCGACCCCTCTAGGCCATCTGTCCTTTGCAGGGCATTTAGCATGCTTTTTCTAAAACATATTTGTGCCATTTTACCTGCTTAAATACCATCAAAGTTTCCATTGCCCATATATTAAGTTGTAATTATTTTTCAGGTACTACCTGGGTCTTTCTACATTTTCAGTTTTGGTCTTGCCAGTTCCTTTTCCTTTCCACTTCAAACCTTTCATACCTTTCTTTTGCACATTCCTGGTCATTTACACATGCTCTTTCTGCTGCTGGGAATGCCTTTCTCCTGACTTGCACTTAGGGAACACTTATTTAAGTTATTTTTTCTTTTATTATTTCTTATTTTTTAAGATTTAACTCCTGATGCATTTGCCAATCTTCCTCAAATGCCTGAGTCAAAGCTGGCTCTTCTTTCTCTTACTCCCTTTGTGCTTTCCTCAGTAACACCCTGTTGAATCTTAGCTCTTCAGCTGTGAGAGGCCAGTCCAGGGCTTGACATAAAGGAGGCCTCCCTAAACACTGGGTAAAAAGAGTATATAAATAGTTATTTTGGTGAACAGTACCTTTCATGATTGTGGCAGGTGGTACAGTTCAAGCAACAATCCCGACTTGAGGAAAAGCGCAAAAAAGCTCTGGACCTGCACCTAGACTTCATTGTGGGGCAAACTGAAAAGTACTCAGATCTTCTGTCTCAGAGCCTCAACCAGCCGCTAGCCTCCAGCAAAGCGGGCTCTTCCCCTTGCCTCGGCTCTTCCTCAGCTGCCTCCAGTCCTCCACCCCCGGCTTCCCAGCTGGATGATGAAGGTGTGTGTTCTGTTTGGCCCTGTTACTCTTCTTTATGTACCCTTTCCAGAGCTGAAAAACCCACCCTGTGGCTTGCAGGGCCCGTGGACTTTGTGACCTTGTTCTCCTGCTATAGATGGGGACTTCCAACCCCAAGAGGAAGAGGAAGAGGATGATGAGGAGACTATTGAGGTTGAAGAACAACAGGAAGGCAATGATGCAGAGACTCAGAAGCGTGAGATTGAGCTGCTTCGACATGAGGGAGAACTGCCACTGGAAGAGCTGCTCCGTTCCCTCCCACCACAGCTGCTGGGAGGCTCTCCCAGCCCCTCTCAAACCCCTTCATCTCATGATAGTGACACCCGAGATGGGCCTGAAGAAGGTGGTGAAGAAGAATCCTCTCAGGTGTTGGAGGTATAGGCAGAAGGGTTGGATGGGGGAGGCTTCAGTGTAGGAGCAGAGAGAGAGACTAAGGGTCTAAGCTCTGTGCTATTAGGTTGGTTGTAGTTTTTGGGAGCCCTCCCTGGTTAAGGAAAATTGGGCTGTCATTTGGGGATGGTTGGGGAAGAATCGGGGAGTTGGACAAGTTGCAGCCTGTGATTGTCAGAGTTTCTGATACTGCAGTGGAAGAATGAACTGTATTTTACTCTTAATTGCTATGTGATCTTGAAAAAGTACTTGCTTTGGCCCTTACTTGCCACTTCTGTGAGTTGGCCCTAATGTTCCATTACTGGCTTATAGGTTGGGAGCTGCGATGGTAACCTTGAAGTCTCTTCCGGACCTAAATCCTCTGTTTCTGCATATGTCTGGGTACATGGGGTGGTGTTGGAGGCCTTTCTCACCTAGCACTTTCACAGGTCCTTCCCCAGGCAGTGGGGCCAGGATTTGGTAGCTGGTGCTGAGAGAAAACCCTTGATTGCATCCTTGCCCTGGTGCTATACCAGTGGCAGCTGTCACTCAGTGGGACAGAGACCATTCTGTGATGTCTTATTCAGCATCGCACTTTTCTCTTGCTGCTCTAATCTTAGGCCCTACCCTATTTCTTCCTTTGCCATATAGGTAAAGCCCCCACCTTCCTCTGTCAGACAGCATAACAAGGAGCCTTGGCATCCAGATGAAGATGATGAAGAGTTTACTGCCAATGAGGATGAAGGTCAGGCCTGTTGTCTTTATTCTGTTGCCCCTTACTACTTGACTTAATTGTCTGGATCTAACCATTCAGGCTTTCTCACTCTCTCCCTTTGGACTGTGTCCTGTGCCTCTATCTCCATTGATCCTACTTCATTCTCTTTCCTAGCGGAGGATGAGGAGGACACCATAGCAGCTGAGGAGCAGTTGGAAGGGGATGTGGATCATACCATGGAGCTGAGCGAGTTGGCTCGAGAAGGTGACGTTCACCAGACATTTTATTGAGCATCCACTTGATATTTCCCCTGTGCAGAGTGCCGGGATTAAAGAGATAGTAAGATACTTTTTATCCCCCCTATAGGAACTCCAGATCTAATGCCAAAGACAGACTTATAGATGAATAATTATAAGTAGAAAGTAATGAGTGCATTTGATAGAAGTTTGAACAAAGTGATGTGGGAGTTCAGTGGAGGGAAGAGCCTGCTACAAGAGGATATTGGCAAGATTTGACCTGAACCTTCAAAGAGAGGCTCACCAGGTTGATGTCCTTCCCTGTAGAAAGCAGCACCTCCCATGATTCTAAACCAGGTTGTGGGGCATGGTTTGATAGCTGGTGCTGAAAGTAAACTTCTGCCTCCCATCAGACCTGGGCCTAGCAGTGTCGACAGAAACCTAAGTAAAATGAACTGGCACCACTCAAACCTCTCCTTGTCCTCTTCCCTTTAAGCAAGCGAAAGTTTACCCTTTATTTATCTTCCAGGTGAGCTGTCTGTGGAGGAGCTATTGCAACAGTATGCAGGAGCTTATACCTCTGATGCTTCTGCCCTGGGCTCTGAGAGCAGTGAAGAGGAAGAGGAAGATGAAGATGAGGAGGATGAGGCAAACAGTTCTGACTGTGAACCAGACAGGGCCACAGAAGCTGAAGAGGCTCCTCAAGAGGACAGTAGCAGTCAGTCAGGTGAGATGTGTGATCATGAGATGGAGCTGGGGAGGGCAGGCATTGAAGCAGCAGGTATGGTGAGTGCTAAGCCTTGGTCTTGTACTTTAGACTCTGCTGAGGAGCAGAGCGAGGATGAAGAAAATGAGCATTCAGAGGAGGAAGAAACAAGCAGGAGTTCAGAATCAGACGAATCTGAGTCTGATGAGTCTGAGGATGCCCAATCACAGAGCCAAGCGGATGAGGAAGAGGAAGAAGATGATGATTTTGGGGTGGAGTACTTGCTTGCCCGGGATGAAGAGCGGAGTGAGGCAGATGGGGGCAGTGGGCCTCCTACCCCAGGGCCCACCACCACTTTAGGCCCTAAGAAAGAAATTACTGACATCGCTGCAGCAGCTGAAAGTCTCCAACCTAAGGGTTACACCTTGGCCACTACCCAGGTGTCCATCCCCAGTCCCCAACTTCTACTTTTTCATATCTTGACGTTCCTGTTTCCCAGCGACAGATGCCTCAGTTCCAATGTAATACCTCTTTTTCTTCTCTGCCAGGTGAAGACACCTATCCCCCTGCTTCTGCGAGGTCAGCTCCGGGAGTACCAACACATTGGGCTGGACTGGCTGGTTACTATGTATGAGAAGAAGCTTAATGGCATTCTTGCTGATGAGATGGGGCTGGGGAAGACAATCCAGACCATCTCCCTGCTTGCTCACTTGGCATGTGAGAAAGGTAACTAGTCAGGGCCTTTTATCTTGGACCCTCATGGCCAATGTCCTGGGGAGTTTGTTGGTGACTCCAACTGCAGGAAGATGAAATACTTGCAATCCTGCTGCTGTCCTAGTAGCTTCGTTGATCCTGGTCATTAACTATAGAGAGAATAGCATAGGTGCTAGGATTCTTAGGAATGACCATTAGAAGGACAAGGTGGTCAGGGATATACCTGAGGAACGAGAGCTGCAAAGTTTACATTTCCTTACCATGTCTCATTCTTTTGCCAAACAGGTAACTGGGGTCCCCATTTAATCATTGTTCCTACCAGCGTGATGTTGAACTGGGAGATGGAGTTGAAACGTTGGTGCCCCAGCTTTAAAATCCTAACTTACTATGGAGCACAGAAAGAGAGGAAGCTCAAGAGACAGGTTTGATCCTTCATGTGGTCACTTTCTCTCCCTATTAATGCCTTCTTTATTTTTAGGCCTTTTCTCAGATGAGGTCCTTTCCCTTCTCTTTCTGTTGCTTCATTATTCTCCTGGGACTTTCTCCTGTCTTCCAACCTGATTTCAGTCCCGTGAGGACCTTAGCATGTTTTCTCTTAACTTAATTTTCTTTTTATGCCAGTATCTGCTACTTTTTTTCTATGATCCCTCAGGGCTGGACCAAGCCCAATGCCTTCCATGTGTGTATCACGTCTTACAAGCTGGTGCTGCAGGACCACCAGGCCTTCCGCCGCAAGAACTGGCGCTATCTCATTCTGGATGAAGCTCAGAACATCAAGAACTTCAAGTCACAGCGTTGGCAGTCACTGCTCAACTTCAACAGGTAGGTATAGAGATGGGGATTTGTGGGAGGGTTGACTTGGCCTGAAGGGTGGGCTGCTTGGGTTGAGTTTATCAACGATACTCAGAAGGTCGGGATCTTGCTGACCATCCTCCCGGTGATTCCCTCTGTCTCTTTGCAGCCAGAGGCGCCTGCTCCTGACAGGAACTCCCTTGCAGAACAGCCTTATGGAGCTGTGGTCCTTGATGCACTTTTTGATGCCCCATGTCTTCCAGTCTCATCGCGAGTTCAAGGAATGGTTCTCTAACCCCCTCACTGGCATGATTGAGGGCAGCCAAGAGTATAATGAAGGTCTAGTCAAGCGCCTCCACAAGGTAGGGCCTGCAACACTTTGTTGAGGGTATTGGGAGTGGCGAGGAACTAAGGGCAATAGTTCCCCAGGAAACCCTTGGGGAGGGGGAAGTCAGCGCTAGGCTGAACTTACCCAGTTGTCAAACTGCAGTGTTCTAGGGCCTAACCCGTTATGAAATTAAGTGACTTTGTTAGTTATCATTCAGCTTGTTTTCTTTAATGGTGGTGATTTGTCCTTATTTTCTTTGAGTAGAATGATAGTGCTGATCACTCCCTGCTTGGATTTCTCCTTACCTGGGTTTCCTCAACTTTGTATTTTTGATGTGTTCTCTGTTTTTGGTGGGGGTGGATCATCTTTGGCACCTTCCGCTTTGCCCAGCTTTTAAATAACATCTTTCAGCATTCTGATTTTTAGCTCATCTTCTCAATCTTTGTATTTCATAAGCATACTCATTCCTAAGGCTTTGACTATTTCCTGTGTGACAATAAACGTCACTCGACCTGTATTTAAGTTTCTGACTTGATATCTTTAATAGAAAGTTCTTTTAACTCACTCTGTTCTAAGACAAACATCTTTGGCCTTATAGCCTATTATTTCTAGTCCATCTTGGTCAATCACACCATCATTTGGTAAACTAAGCTTCTTTAACAAGTGCTCTTCCATGTCACTATAGATATTGATGATCGTATCCTACCAGATTTTATCTCCTGAAATTACAGGCTTGCCTTTTGTTTTTTGTCCTGTCAGGGCCACAATTTTTGTTTTCACATCTCTCCTGGATTTATTTTCATAATCTTGTAAATTTATAATCATTCCTCAAAATTTAGTTTGAGTCATTTTTCCTGTATAGTTGGTCTATCCTCAGTGCTTCCTTGTATCACATTGTATGTTGTGGTATCATTATCTTTGTCTCATTTAACAGACAGTAAGTTCCTCGAGAGGAGGTCTCGTATCTGATTCATTTTTGTGGGGTTGACATCTGGGCATGCCACATTGCTCCATGAGTGTTTGCTGATGGGCTTATTCAGCGCTCAGCCAGTCATCAGGCCAAGACCCAGCTAGACGGGCTAGGCTGGGGCTCAGTGCCCACTGTTCTTTCATCAGCCTCCTGCTTATTTGCTTTTAGGTTTTGCGGCCTTTTTTGCTGCGCCGAGTTAAGGTGGATGTTGAGAAGCAGATGCCCAAAAAGTATGAGCATGTTATCCGCTGCCGGCTCTCCAAGCGCCAACGCTGTCTCTATGATGACTTCATGGCACAGACCACGTAAGGGAGGACTGAGGATGGGCCCTGGGACCATAGGTTGAAGTGGAGGTGGCTGTCAGGACATCTTATTTACTTTTCCTCTCTCTCTAGAACTAAGGAGACACTAGCCACAGGCCATTTCATGAGCGTCATCAACATCTTGATGCAGCTTCGAAAAGTCTGCAATCATCCAAATCTGTTTGATCCTCGACCTGTTACCTCCCCTTTCATCACCCCAGGCATCTGCTTCAGCACTGCCTCTCTGGTGCTAAGGGCCACAGATGTCCATCCCCTTCAGGTAAGTAGTTGCCCCCAAGGTTATTGTCCCATACTGCAAACCTGTACCTCTTTTCTTTTCTTTTCCCTTCTCTTCTTTTTTCTTTTCTCTTCTCTTTCTTTCTTTCTCTCTTTCTCTTTCTCTCCCCCTTTCCCTCCCCCTCCCCCACCCTCTTCCTCCCTCTCCCTCCCTCCCCCACCCTC